TAGGGTGAAACAGATCACCAGCCCAGGTTGGATGCATGAGACAAGTGCTCGGGCCTGGTGCACTGGGAAGACCCAGAGGGATCGGGTGGAGAGGGAGGTGGGAGGGGGGATCGGGATGGGGAATACATGTAAATCCATGGCTGATTCATGTCAATATATGACAAAAACCACTACAATACTGTAAAGTAATTAGCCTCCAACTAATAAAAATAAATGAAAAAAATAAATAAATAAGAAAATGTAAGGTTTTACAGACAGAGAAAGTGATATATTGTATGATATCCCTTATGGGGAATCTAAAAAGAAATGATACAAATGAACTTATGTACAGAACAGAAGGAGACTCTATGGTCAGGTTGGAAGGGATAATTAGGGAGTTTGGGACAAACATGTACACACTGCTGTATTTAAAATGGATAACCAACAAGGACCTACTGTAGAGCATGGGGAACTCTGCTCCACGTTATATGGCAGCCTGGATGGGAGGGGGGTGTGGGGGGAGAACGGATACATGTATATGTATGGCTGAGTCCCTTTGCTGTCCACCCGAAACTATCAGAACATTGCTAATCAGCAACAATCCAATACAAAATAAAAAGTTTTAAAAAAAGAAAATGTAAGACTTTAACAGTCACTTAATACAATCTCCAAATTTTCCATGACTCTACAATTATGCCTTCTCTTAACTATTTCTTGGCCTAAGCGTTATAGTTCAGAATTTTCCCTTATTTTTTTAATAGTTTGGTTTTAATGTTTAAAGTTCCTGGAACTTATTTTAGTATTGACCTTTTTTATAATCTAAAAAAAAATCATCTCAGTAATAATATTCTAGCCTTCTGCTATTGTAAATGCCACTTTGTGTGTGCATGTAATACTTATGTCTATAGACACATACAGACCTGTGTACATGCACACACACACAAAAGCTTTGTTTCTAGACTACCTATTCACTTCCATACACTTGGGCAAGCTTGCTCCTGTCCCCCACTCTAAGGTATTCTTTGGAAGTTAACACTAAGTTTCTCCTGTGGCACCCCACCCCCCGCCCCCGGGTAAATAGACAACCCTTTCTATTTCCACCAGCAAAGAATCAGTCTGGTTTATAGAAACTCCAGGAAGAAAGAGGTGGGGACACTGGGGGTGAGGGAGGGGCCCAGTGACAACTGAGGGCGTGTGAAGCTCCACACTCCACACCTGCACGTAATGAAATGAATCCCCCCCGCCCAGGCTCCCAGTATACCTACAGAAGCACCAACCGTCTTTATGATAACCAAGGCCCCAAACTGGATGCTAAGAGCTCATCTTGCGTCTCTAGAATTCAACAATTCAACCTCAGGCGCCCCTGTGGGACAAGCCCACTTTGCTGGACCGCAGTGTGGGGGGCGGTCCGCGTGCCGTCTCCCCCAGGCTCCCCTCCCCGACACCGACTCACAGCAGCGCCTCCAGGGCACAGTCTGGGCTCTTCAAGGCCTCACACAGCACCCGCACCCCATCGTCCTTCAGGGCGTTCTCTGACAAGGAGAGAAGCTTCAGCTTCTTGTTGTGGACGAGAACAGAGGCGATGTCTTTGCAGGCTTTACCCGTGATGTCACACTTCCCCAGCCTGCAGGAGAGACGGGTGGGGGGGGGCAGCCGGGATGTTTACAGGGTGTCTGTGCAACTGGCCCTGAACCGCATCAGGGCATCTAATCCAGCACCTGCCAATTCCGGACTTTTTAAAAAGCAGGGGTAATCATGCGATTCTCCACAAGAATCCCTGTTGCTTTCCACTCAAATTAGAAATGCTTTCAAATTGTGGTACTGGAGAAGACTCTGGAGAGTCCCTTGGACAGCAAGAAGATCAAACCAGTCCATCCTAAAGAAAATCAACCCTGAATATTCATTGGAAGGACTGATGCTGAAGCTGAAGCTCCAACACTTTGGCCACTTGATACAATGAGCTGACTCATTGGAAAAGACCTTGATGCTGGGAAAGATGGAAGGCAGGAGGAGAAGGGGATGACAGAGGATGAGATGGTTGGATGGCATCACCGACTCAGTGGACATGAGTTTGAGCAAGCTTGGGAGATAGTGAAGGACAGGGAAGCCTGGTGTTCTGCAGTTCATGGGGTCGCAATGAGTCGGACTTGAGTTAACGACTGAACAACAACAAAGCAAGCCTGTATGTTCAAACATACATGGCTTATGCATGGACCCTTCCTCTCCCTCCTGATGAATCTTGACAGGTGAAATTAACCAAGTGCACGTGATCTGTCAGTCATATTACTGATGGAGAGAAGAGTATGTCTTCTTGGTGAGTTTAACAAGTTGTTTTTGTTTATTGCTATTTCTACTACTTCCCTTTGTTCTTCCTGCTGAAAAACAGACTGAGTCTGTTTAGAAACCCCCAATGAGGCTAAAGGCATCCCAGATAATTTTCAAGAGAAAGCAATGATTTGGGGGAAATTACTTTCCCTCTATCCTCAATGGTATTATCTGCCAGATTCCAAGATGACATTTGTGATCATCCATAACCTTTCTCATTTTCTCATTTCTCTGACTGTCTTCAAGGGAAAAGAAACTGGAGTTACGGCTTTGGTAGGGTTGGTTGAGAGGAGAGCCAAGGAGATTCAGATAAGGCATCTGTGAGGTCACTCAAGTGAGCACAAAAGAAAAGATGGGACAGACCTTCTGAGAGGAAGCTTTGTGCTTAAGAACCCATCCATCCTCATCTTATTAGGAGGTCTGCTGATACTGAGATGGACATGGTAAAACATGTGAGAGACAATGACAGGAAAGGAGATAGGCGTGTTGGATCTGCCAAGTTCACACAGGGAAACATCTACATCATGGAGGAAAACCCCAAGACTTACATGAGTTCTTCTATGTTGCACATTGGGTGTTTCAGCGCCTCGCACAGCTTCCTGGCATCCATATGGGAGAGGCTGCTGCCATAGAGGTTCAGGTATTTCAAATGAGGGTTATGAAGAATGGCCTTAAAGAATTCTAGGCTATTTGCCAGATTCGAAGCAAAGTTACACCTACAAAAGACGAAGAGATACAGTAGCTCATGCAATGAAGTCCAAAGCAAGATACCTCTTACACAATTCTTCCTACTATTTATGCTTAGGCTCCTAGTTTTTGTTAAAATATCCAGTTTGTTGTCATTCAGTACTAAGTCATGTCCAACCTTTTGCAACCCCATGGAATGCAGCACGCCAGGCTCCCCTGTCCTTCACTACCTCCCAGAGTTTGCTCAAATTCATGTCCATTGAGTAGGTGATGCTATCTAACCATCTCATCCTCTGCCGCCCTCTTCTCCTTTTGTCTTCAATCTTTCCCCGCTTCAGAATTTTTTCCAATGATTTCGCTCTTCTGGTGTGCGTGTGAGTTAAGTCACTTCAGTGTCTGACCCTGCGACTCCATGGACTGTAGCCCGCCAGGCTCCTCTGTCCATGGGATTCTCCAGGCAAGAACGCTGCAGTGGGCTGCCATGACCTTCCTGACTCAGGGATTGAACCCATGCCTCTTATGTCTCCTGCACTGGCAGTCGGGTTCTTTACCAGTCGCGCCATCTGGGAAGCTGTCTTCTGGTTATTCCCGCCTATGACTTCTCTCTGGGATCTTCAGACATCAGGTGCTCAGAAGTCTCCTGTTTCTGCCGAGTCCCTCCGCTTCTGCATTCCACCACAGATATTGTAAGGAAGCCAGACTTAGCCCATGCTAAATTCTAAGCACCATATTTGTGCCTCTTTGCTCTCCTACATCTGGAAATACCTCCCATGTCCAAACAAGACTGTCTTCCTCACGGAAGGGATCATTGCAGTCTAAAATTTTTAAAGGGTGTTTTTAAAGGAGACAATTTTTTCAAGTTTTCTTTAAAAAAAAAAAACAAACTAAAAGGAGATGGTATATGTCCTGGTTAGAGAACCAGGCTCCTAATGTAGAGAAAACTGGATTCAAATATTTGCTTTTCTCCTGGATATTCTGAAGTTTGGGTAAATTAACTTAATAGTGGAGGTTCATCACAAAACAAATAGATCATGATGGTTCGGAAATTACCATTTATTGCACCTACTGATAGAGGAATGGATAAAGAAGATGTGTTACATTCCATATACACAATGGAATGTTACTCAACCATTACAAAGAAATGAAATAATGCCACTTGTAGCAACATGAATGGACCTAAGGAATGTCATACTGAGTGAAGTAAGTTAGAGAATGAGAAATATCATATGACATCCCTTATATGAGGAATCTAAAAAGAAATGATACAAATGAACTTACTTACAAAACAGAGTCACAGAGTTAAGAGAATGGACTTATGGTTGCCGGGGGGAAGGGATAGTTAGGGACTTTGGGAAGGACAGGTACACACTGCTATACTTAAAACGGATAACCTACAAGGGCCTAGTACAGAGCACAGGGAACTCTGTTCAGTGTCTTGTGGAAGCCTGGAGGGGAGGGGGCCTGGGGGAGAATGGATACGTGCATCTGTATGGCTGAGTCCCTTTGCCGTCCACCTAAAACTACCTCAACATTGTTAATCGGCTCTACCCCAACACAAAATAAAAAGTTCTTTAAAAAAAAAAAACTCTAGGTATGATGACACCTCATTTCTGTGTACACTGTGAAGAGAAACTGTTTTCCTCATTTTGGAATCCCAGGGTCCTGGGAAGGACATGCACATTTTCATTCATAACTTCACTCAGGTGGTCTCAGATACCTAGTTTCCTCCTTTACAGAGTCATCTGCCCCATTTAAAATCAACAACCAATCTCTCAATTATAAGACCACTAGTCCTTGTTTTGCAATAAACTGTATATACTGGAGAAGACTCTTGAGAGTCCAAGAAGATCAAACCTGTCAGTCCTAAAGGAAATCAACCCTGAATATTCATTGGAAGGACTGATGCTGAAACTGACACTCCAATACTTTGGCCACCTGATGCAAAGAGCCGACTCATTGGAAAAGACCTTGATGCTGGGAAAGATGGAAGGCAGGAGAAGGGGATGACAGAGGATGAGATGGATGGATGGCATCACCAACTGGATGGACATGAGTTTGAGCAAACTCTGGGAGACAGAGAAGGACAGGGGAGCCTGGCGTGCTGCAGTCCGTGGGGTCTCAAAGAGTTGGACACGACTTTGTGACTGAACAACAACCACTGATCTAATGTATGAGCAAGTCAGTCCCCTACTTTATTTTTGACAGAGCTTCCAGAAGAAATAAAACAACAACACTGCGACAAGGTCCATTTTTTACTATCCATGCAGGATCTAGAGTAATTCATTTATAAGCCCGTTTCTTTCTGTGAAATGAATAAACCACGTCCAGAATGCAAGGATCCATACATTCACTCGACCTCAGTTTAAAGAGCACCTGGAAAGCTCTGCACTTTGCTGGCTGCTGGAGACATCAGGGTAAACAAGAGATATCTTTTCTCTCTTCATGGCAAATTAGTCAGAGAAACACTGTGTCTCAAGACCACCCCTAGCTGTGGTGGTCTTGGTATATAGGTTTTGGCATATAGCAAGAAGCCACACTTAAGCTGAAGGAGGAGTTAAATTTAGCTTGAAAGTGATAGCTTGCAGGGTTGAAGACAGCAGGATGGCCTAAGGCAAACCAAGTTACTCAAAAGTGTCAGAGAAGGCCATCATCAAAAAATCTGCAAACTATCAATGCTGGAGAGGCTGTGGAGAGAAGGGAATCCTCCTACACTGCTGGTGGGAATGTAAATTGGTAACAGCCACAAGGAGAAAAGAATGGAGATTTTAGGTTTTAACCTAAAAATAGAGCTACCATATGATCCAGCAATTCCACTCCTGGAAAACCATAATTTGAAAAGGCACACGTACCCCAATGTTCATAGCACTAATCACAACATCCAAGACATGAAAGGAAGCTAAATGTCCATCAACAGATGAATGGATAAAGACGACATGAGCCATATACACAATGGAATATTACTCAGCCATAAAAATAATGAAATCATGCCTTTGCAGCAACATGGATGGGCCTAGAGAAGATCACACCCAGTGAAGTAAGTCAGACAAAGACAAATACCATATGACATCACTCATATGTGGAATCTTAAAAAAAAATGATACAAAGAAACTTATTAGCAAAACAGAAACAGGCTCACAGATTTCAAAAACAAAATTTATGGTTGCCAAAGGGGAAAGGTCGGGGGAAGGAATAAATTAGGAGTTTGAGATTAACACATACACACTCCTGTATATAAAACAGACAACCAACAAGGACCTACTATGCAAACAGGGAACTCTCCTCAGTACTGTATGATGACCTGTATGGGAAAAGAATCTGAAAAAGAGTGGACACACGTATGTGTGCCTGTGTGCTAAGTTGCTTCAGTTCTGTCCAACTCCTTGTGGCCCCGTGGACTATAGCCTGCCAGGCTCCTCAGTCCATGGGATTCTCCAGGAAAGAATACTGGGGTGGGTTGCCATGACCTCCTCAAGGGATCTTCCCAACCCAGGGATGGAACCTGAGTCTCTTAGGTCTCCTGCATTGGAACACAGGTTCTTAACCACTAGCACCACCTGGGAAGCCAAAATACAGGTAGATGCATGCATGTATGTATGTGTGTGTGTGTGTATACATATACATATATATATATATATATTTAACTAATTTTTCTGTGCACCTGAAACTAACACAACATTGTGAATCAACTACAGTTCAATATAATATAAAAGTTAAATTTAAAAAATTACACAGAAAAAAGTACATTTCTGTACATAAAGGCAGTCTCTCCATTAGAGAAACATCTCCTCTCCTTGACTTCTTAGCTGTCATAAAAAGCACTCTTTCTACCATAGAAAGAAAAGCATCAGAGAATCACTGTGACCTTCTCTATGCTTCTGGTAAATAGACCTTTTTGTAAAAAGGTCATGATGAAATTGTTGTAAGGGTTACAAGACAGAGGAGACGGTGCATATAAAGCAACCAGCTCAGGGCCTAAGAATTGTTCTATACACACTTCCCATTCCATGCTATTCTTACTATTTTTCTCTTTTATGAACGTGAGGCTCTCTTACCCCCTGTCCTCAGCACCTTCCTCCACCTTTTCCTGGGAAACAGCCATTCTCAATCCACCAGCATCCAAGCAAACATCACCAACTACCCGGACTATCTGCTCTTGGGCTCGCCAAGCAAACTTTACATCACAGTTAAAACATCTGTGACAGAGGAACTGAAATGGGGGCTCAGTACAAATACATCGCTAGACCAAAACACACAGTTGTGTCACCCAGAGGTAACACCAAGTTCCCCGAAATGCCAATTCTGCTTCTGACACAAAACAAGATTTCCCTGGGCTTCCCAGGTGGCTCAGTGGTAAAGAACCTGCCTGCTAATGCAGGAGACGCAGGTTCAATCCTTGGGTTGTGAAGATCCCCCGGAGGGCACAGCAACCCACTCCTGTATTCTTGCCTGGAGAATCCCATGGACAGAGGAACCTGGAGGGCTACAGTCCATGGGCTCGCAAAGAGTCTGACACAACTGAGCGACTAAACAGCAACAACAACGATATTTTTCCAAGTCAGCATGAACTCCACAGCTAACCGTCTGCACACAGTGAGCTGATGCCATGGGAAGGAAGGTCTGACTCTAGGGCCACTCACGGCAGAAAAAAAGAAAATTTGTCCTTTCTCACCCAGGCTCTGTAACCTGGCAACCCAGCTTCTTGGGCACATTCAGTCTTCACATCTCCCTGTTTGCCCAGTTTGTGTCTCACTCAGGGAAACATCTTAAATCAAGGAAAGCGCTCAGAATTTGCTTTCGACACATGGGATTGTAGCTCGGGTTTTTAAAAGAAACCAAAGTGGGAAAAAATGACACTCTGCTATTGACTTAAAGAACAGGTGAAGACCCGACTTACACGAACTTGCGGAGTTTACAGACAGGTTGAGACAGCGTCCTGCAGAGAACAGCCAGAGAGGGCTCGTCGAACTGACAGTTCTCCAGATTTAGCATCTCGAAGTCCTCACTGGCGGTGAATGCTGAGCACAGATCCCGCCAGAGGGTGAGCTTCTCAATGGTGCTGTGGGAAGACAAATACCATGATTCTCCCGTGGCTCCACTCAACCCACCCCTTAAACCGCTAAAAATAGGGCTTCCATCCCTGATGGCTCAGTGGTAAAGAATCCACCTGCCGATGCAAGAGACAAAGGTTCGATCCCAGATCTGGGAAGATCACGTGCCTTGGGGCAACTAAGCCCGTGCACCACGACTACTAAGTCTGTACTCCTGAGCCCACATGCTCTAGAGCCTGTGCTCTGCAACAAGAGAAGCCACCGCAATGGGAAGCCCGCACACTGCAACTGGAAAGGAGACCCTGCTTACTACAACAAGAGAAAGCCTGCAGGCAGCAAACAAGGACCCAGCAAGGCCAAAATAAATTAATTTTTTTATAAAGCCAAAAACAGAGTTGCCATACAATCCAGCAATCTCACTCCTGGGCATACATCTGGAAAAAAGCAGATATATGCAAAAGGATACACGCACTCCTATGTTCACTGCAGCACTGTTTACAATAACCAAGACATGGAAGCAACTGAAATGTTCATCAACAGATGAATGGATAAAGATGTAGTGTATATACATACACACAGACACACACAATGGAATATTACTCAGCCATTAAAAAAGAATGAAATAATGCCATTTGCAGCAACATAGATAGACCTGGAGATTATCAAAGTAAGTGAAGTAAGTCAGGCAAGAGGAAGGCAAATATCATGGGATATTGCTTGTATGCAGAATCTAAAATAAAAATAATACCAGTGAACTTAATTACAAAACAGAAACAGACTCACAGACTTCAAAAACAAACTTACTGCTACCAAAGAAGACAGGTAGGAGGAGAGATAAATAAGGAATTTGGGATTGACATGTATACACTACTATATATGTTTGTTCATTTGTTTTATCTTTTTGATCCCACATATAACTGAAATTGTACAGTACTTATCTTTCTTTGATTTATTTCACTAAGCATAATATCCTGCAGATCCATCCATGCCATCATAACTGGCAAGATGTCGACTTTTATGGCTGAGTAATATTCTATCTATATCGCATCTTTTTAAATTTATTTTTGAAGTAAAAGATAATTGCATTACAGAATTTGGTTGTTTTCTGTCAAACCTCAACATGAATCAGCCACAGGTATACATACGTCCGCTCCCTCTTGAACCTCCCTCCCATCTCACTCCTCTAGGCTGCTACAGAGACCCTGCTTGAGTTCCCTGAGACCTACAGCAAATTCACAAACTGGCTATCTGTTTTACACATGGTAATATAAGCTTCCACATAACTCACTCCATACACCTCACCTTCTGCTCCCCATCCCCGTGTCCATAAGTCTGTTCTCTATTGTCTGTTTCTCCATTGTTGCTCTGCAAATAAATTCTTTGGTACCATCTTTCTAGATTCCATATATATGCATTAGTATACATATGTATATATACCAGATCTTCTTTATCCATTCATCTGTCGATGGACACCCAGATTCTTTCCATACCTTAATAAGGCTGCTACAAACATTAGGGTAGATACAAAAGTCCTCATTATGGGCAAAATAATCTGTAACTATGTATGATGACAGATGTTAACTGGTTCTCAGTTGGTAAAGAATCTGTCTGCAATGCGGGAGACCTGGGTTCAATCCATGGGTCAGGAAGATCCCCTGGAGAGCAAAATGGCAACCCACCCCAGTATTTTTGCTTGGAAAATTCCATGGGCCAGAGGAGCCTGGCAGGCTGCAGTCCATGGGGTCACAAAGAATGGGAAATGAATGAGCAACTAACACTTTCACTTTTCATGTATGGTGAAAGATGTTAACTAGACTTACTGTGGTGACCATTTCACAGTATATACAAATATTGAAAATTATGCTGCACACCTGAATCCAATATAATTGTTGTATGTCAATTATACATTTTTTTTGGCCATGTCGCCCAGCATATGGGATCTTAGTTCCCCAATCAGGAATCAAACCCATGTCCCCTGCAGTGGAAGCATGGAGTCTTAACCACCAGACCACTAGGGAAGTCCCTCAATTATACATTAATTTTTTTTAATGACAGTGAAAGAGGGTATGTGTGAGCTGGGAGCTAAAGTGTGAGCTGGGAGCCTGAGCCTGATGAAAGAATGCAAGTTAAAATCAGCCCAGGGATGCAAGGATTCTTCAATATACACAAATCAATCAATGTGATATACCACATTAACAAAGTGAAAGATAAACACCATATGATTATCTCAATAGATGCAGAGAAAGTCTTTGACAAAATACAACATCCATTTATGATAAAAAAAAAAACCCTAGAAATCTGTCATAGAAGGAACATACTTCAACATAATAAAAGCCATATATGATAAACCCACAGCAAACATTATCCTCAATGGTGAAAAATTGAAAGCATTTCCCCTAAAGTCAGAAACAAGACAAGGGTGCCCATACTCATCACTATTATTCAACATAGTTTTGGAAGTTTTAGCTACAGCAATCAGAGAAAAAAATAAATAAAAGGAATCCAGATTGGAAAAGAAGTAAAACTCTCACTGTTTGCAGATGACATGATCCTCTACATAGAAAACCCTAAAGACTCCACCAGAAAATTACTAGAGCTAATCAATGAATACAGTAAAGTTTTAGGATATAAAATTAATACACAGAAATCCCTTTCATTCCTATACTCTTAACAATGAGAAAAAAAAAGAGAAATTAAGGAGACAATTCCTTTCACCATTGTAACGAAAAGAACAAAATACTTAGGAATAAATCTACTTAAAGAAACAAAAGATCTATATATAGAAAACTATAAAACATTGATGAAATACATCAAAGAGGACACAAATAGATGGAGAAATATACCATGTTCTTGGATCAGAAGAATAAATATAGTGAAAATAAGTATACTACCCAAAGTAATCGATAGATTCAATGCAATCCCTATCAAGCTACCAACAGTATTTTTCAGAGAACTAGAACAAATAATTTCATAATTTGTATGGAAATACAAAAAACCCTCAAATAGTCAACGCAATCTTGAGAAAGAAGAATGGAACTGGAGGAATCAACCTGCCTGACTTCAGACTATACTACAAAGCCACAGTCATCAAGACAGTATGGTACTGGCACAAAGACAGAAATATAGATCAATGGAACAGAATAGAAAGCCCAGAGATAAATCCACGAACCTATGGTCACCTTATCTTCGACAAAGGAGGCAAGGATATACAATGGAAAAAAGACAACCTCTTTAACAAGTGGTGCTGGGAAAACTGGTCAACCACCTGTAAAAGAATGAAACTAGAACACTTTCTAACACCATACACAAAAATAAACTCAAAATGGATTAAAGATCTAAATGTAAGACCAGAAACTATAAAACTCCTAGAGGAGAACATAGGCAAAACACTCTCCGACATAAATCACAGCAGGATCCTCTATGACCCACATCCCAGAATTTTAGAAACAAAAGCAAAAATAAACAAATGGGACCTAATGAAACTTAAAAGCTTTTGCACAACAAAGGAAACTATAAGCAAGGTGAAAAGACAGCCCTCAGATTGGGAGAAAATAATAGCAAACGAAGCAACAGACAAAGGATTAATCTCAAAAATATACAAGCAACTCCTCCAGCTCAACTCCAGAAAAATAAATGACCCAATCAAAAAATGGGCCAAAGAACTAAACAGACATTTCTCCAAGGAAGACATACAGATGGCTAACAAACACATGAAAAGATGCTCAACATCACTCATTATCAGAGAAATGCAAATCAAAACCACAATGAGGTACCATTACACGCCAGTCAGGATGGCTGCTATCCAAAAGTCTACAAGCAATAAATGCTGGAGAGGGTGTGGAGAAAAGGGAACCCTCTTACACTGTTGGTGGGAATGCAAATTAGTACAGCCACTATGGAAAACAGTGTGGAGATTTCTTAAAAAGCTGGAAATAGAACTGCCATATGACCCAGCAATCCCACCCCTGGGCATACACACCGAGGAAACCAGAATTGAAAGAGACACGTGCACCCCAATGTTCATCGCAGCACTGTTTACAATAGCCAGGACATGGAAGCAACCTAGATGCCATCAGCAGACAAATGGATAAGAAAGCTGTGGTATATATAGACAGTGGAATATTACTCAGCCATTAAAAAGAATGTATTTGAATCAGTTCTAATGAGGTGGATGACACTGGAGCCTATTATACAGAGTGAAGTAAGTCAGAAAGAGAAACGTGAATACAGTACACTAATACATATATATGGAATTTAGAAAGATGGTAATGATAACCCTATATGCAAAACAGAAAAAGAGACACAGATGTAAAGAACAAACTTTTGGACTCTGTGGGAGAAGGTGAGGGTGGGATGATTTGAGAAAATAGCACTGAAACATGTATATTGCCATATGTGAAATAGACCACCAGTCCAGGTTCGATGCATGAGACAGGGTGCTCAGGGCCAGTGCACTCGGATGACCCTGAGGGATGGGATGAGGAGGGAGGTGGGAGGGAGGATCAGGATGGGGGGCACATGGCTGATTCATGTCAATGTATGGCAAAACCACTACAATATTGTAAAGTAATTAGCCTCCAATTAAAATAAATAAATTTATTTTTAAAAAATAAATAAAATCAGCAAAGAGAAAAGACACATAAGCAAAATCTGGAGGAAATCAGGCACAGTCTTCTAAGTGTGCGTTCCCAGTGGAATTATCAGGATATGCTAAAATGCTATGGAGGTGTGTTGTTGACGGGGCGGGGCGGGGGGAGCATTGTTCTGGCAACAATAAAAACTGCTTACCTTTCAACCTGACATTGGCCCTATGAAGTAAGACACTGACCCTTGTTTATACAGATGGAAAAACTGAAGACTCACAGTTCATGGTCAAAACACTAGCAAATAGCAGTGCAAGGACTCAAACCAGTGTCTCTTTGACTACAAAAGTCACGTTTTTTTAAGTACAAAAGTACAATGGTTTATGAAATACCCATTGGGGGCTGGAAAGAAAGTAAAAAGTGAAAGTTAGTCGCTCAGTTGTGTTTGACTCTTTGCGACCCCATGAACTGCAGCCTGCCAAGCTCCTCTGTCCATTGAATTTCCCAGGCCAGAATACTGGAGTGGGTAGCCATTCCCTTCTCCAGGGATCTTCCCAACCTAGGCGTCAAACCTGGGTATCCTGCCCTACGGGTGATTCTTTACCATCTGAGCTACCAGCGAAGCCCATCTGGGACTGGCACAAATATGGCATGTAGGAGAGAGGGAATTAATACATGGACTTACTTTGAAATGTATCCAGACTCATCTGGGAAGACATGTTCCATACACAGGTGAAATTTCTGCAGACTATGGCAATGTCGCAGACAGGCTGCACATATTATCAGCTCCTCTTTGGTACCAATATAAATGTCAATGTCTTTGAAGAAATTCACCACTTGGGCTACAAATTCTGGGTCCTGGGTCTCAAACAAACAATTGAACAATGCCTGGAAACTCATCATGACATTATTGGGGTCACACTGACTTAAAGTGTCAAGGCTTTGCGTTATTTCCTGCTTTATCCCTTTGGACAGTGGAAAACCGAAGGACGTCTCCAGCCTGTGGGTCATCCTTCCCGTTGAGAACACAAACAGGAATACCGCTGTCCAGGACAGGTGGGAGCAGTGTTCGCTCACGGCCCTGGTGATGAGCTGGGTCACATTTCCAATGACCGAGTGAGGTGGGTCCTTGGGTCGTTTGAACATGTAGAACATGGCTGCGCAAAATTCTTGGATACAGGTATGGATGAAGGCAAGGCAGTCACCACTCCTGTGAAGAAGTTTCATATCTAACCACATCGAGGTGTCCGATTCGGACACCCCATTCCTCCTGAGGTCCCCGGGGCAAAACAGGAACGTGCGAGTCCACATACCCTCGGCAGCCAAGGTACACAGGCTTTTCAGACAGGCTCTTCTCTGCTTCAACGGACAGGTCTCACTTCCTGATTTGAATACTTTCATGAAGAAAGACACGTACAAAGCAGTGATGGTTTCAGAGTCCAGCTCCAGGTCTTCTCCCTTCTCCAGCTGACACTTCAAGCCAGTACAGACTAGCCAACAGAGAAAGGGGCTCTGGCACAAGATGAAGAGTGAGCTCCTCTTCCTCACAAAACTGAAGGCTCTCGAGGATGCACCCTTCTCCCGGAAGTAATGGGAGAAATACAGCTTCCTTTGGCGCTCAGAGAACCCCAAGAGAAAGATGCATTTAATGTGCTTCAACAAATAGTGGTTTTTCTTCATCCCCATCTTGCTGAGTGCAAGGAGCAGAGAGCATTCTGGGAGCATCTGTTTCTGCAGCAGGCTCCGCAGGACAACCTGCAAGGAATGTGGCTGCTCCCAGTCTTCACAGAGGTCGGTGTTGCAATCCAAGTCAAACTTCAGTTCCTCCATGCCATCCAAGATAAAGAGGATTCTCTCTGGCTGGGAAAAGATGTCTTCAATGGGCTCTGAAGACTCAGGCCAGTCCCTGGAGAGCAGCTCCACCAGGCTCATGTCCGTCACACCATTCATTTCACGGCCCGTGAGGAAGAAGACAAACGAGAACCTGTCCTTCCATAGGTTTCCCTTGGCCCACTCCAGCATCACTTTTCTCAGAAAGGTTGTTTTTCCAATCCCTTCAGGACCATGCAAGACCACAGTGGGTGAGAACTCTCCAGGCTCGAGGGTGTCAAGGTAGACAGCATTCAGTTGTTCGTACTCACTCTTTGTGGTCTCTTTGTAGAAATCTTCAGGAACCAGAAGGCAGGGCTCCTTCTCCCACAGGACTTGGAATTTCTGCTTCATGTGGCTTCTATACGGGTTTACCTCCTCTGAATTAACAGGGACAGAAGACAATTTTAAAAAAATACACCCCATATTTGGTACTGAGAACAAACCCTATGGATTTACTCAAACACATGTGCAAAGACTGATGTATGCCCATGGGGGACCAGGCTCATAAACTTTGGGGGTTTTTTTCTTATTTATTTTTATTGCAGTACAGTTGACGTACAATGTTCTTAATTCCTATTGTACAGCAAACTGATTCAGTTATATAGTCATCCTTTTTTAATATTCTTTTCCATTATGGCTTATGGGATTTTTTTAATTGGAGGGTAACTACTCTATAATGTTGCATTATTTTCTGCAGTACAACAATGTGAATTAGTTATATGTATACATACATCCCCTCCTCTTGAGCCTTGCTCCCACGCCTCTCATCCCACCACCCTAGGTCATCACACAGCACCAACCTGAGTTCCTGTGCTACACAGCAGCTTACCACTAGCTATCTGTTTTACACATGGTAGTGTGTACATGTGAGTACTCCTCTTTCAATTCATCCCACCCTCTCCTTCTCCCAGTGTGTCCTAAGAACCTAGGAATAAAACTATCATATGACCCAGAAATCCCACTGCTGGGCATAGACCGAGAGAAAAACATAATCCAAAAAAAAAAAAATCTGCCCCAGATTTTACACAGAATATGAACACCCGGGGATTACACTTCAAACTAGGAGAACACTATCTGCCCAGTCAAGAATTCATAAGCACTGCTATTTATTTAGGGATTCCATGATGGCTCAGCAGCAAAGAACCCACCTGCCAATGCAGGAGACATGAGTTCAATCCCTGCGTCAGAAAGATCCTCTGGAGAAGGAAATGGCAACCCACTCCAGTATTCTTGCCTGGGGAATTCCATGGACAGAGGAGCCTGGTAGGCTATGGTCCATGGGGTCACTAAGAGTCAGACACGACTGAACATGCATGCATGTATAAAACAGATAACCAGCAAGGACCTACTGCATAGCACAGGAAACTTTACTCATTATTTTGTAATAACTTATAAGGGAAAAGAATGTGAAATATATATACCTTATATAATTTATGTACTATATAATACTTATGTATATTGTGCATTATAATACATAATATATAAATTACATGTCAGGACGATCCCCTGGAGGAAGAAATGGCAAAACCCACTCCAGTTTTCTTGGCTGGGAAATCCCATAGACAGAGGAGCCCGGTGGGCTACAGTCTACGGGGTTGCAAAGAGTCGGACACAACTCAGCGATGAAACAACAACAAATTATTACTAACATTTTTAATGTATAATATAGATTATATATCACTTGGCTATACATCTGAAACTAACACAACATTATAACATTATAAATCAACAATAATTCCTTTTAAGAAATCATAATAAAGCCATGAAAACAGATAAAAGAGAATCTTGAGAGCAGAAAAATAAAATATAAAGAAGTATTGGAAGAGTTTCCATGTTCGTGAATTCCAATTTAAGATCAAACACTCACTCAAAAATAAATTTAAATATATGTGTGTGTATATATATATATATATAAAGAGGAAAAAGTTAATGGGCGATTTGTCTGGTATTTTGTCACTCTGTTTGCCAGAATTTACAACTCAACTGATCTTATTCTCTGAGGGAAAGAAAATGGCATACTCGCCCAGAGGAGGATGTAAAGCCCTTCAGTGAGTCAAAAATAACTGGTCCTGAGTCAGTTGTGTCCCTTTTGGAAACGTCATCTAACATGAGGGGGCACTGTTAGGTCTGCGTTTTTCTCATTTGCAAACCTTAGAGTCATGGTAAAAATGAAACAACATCACACATGAAAGGTGCTTCCTGTGGGAGCAGGGGCATCTGCTATTTCCTCATCTTAGGATTCTGCTAGCTTCTTGTGCCAGTCTGGTGAAAAATATGTGACCCATATGAAAGAATCTAAAAAAGAGTAGACACATGTACATGTATAATTGAGTCACTTTGCCATACAGCAGACACTAACACAACACTGCAAGTCGACCCTACTCCAATAAAAAAATATTTAATCAGCAAAAGGGTGGAGAGGGTGGAACAAATGGAGAGAGTAGCATGAAAACATATACACTACCAGGTGTAAAATGGGTGGGAATTTGCTGTGTGAAGCAGGGAACTCAAACTGAGGCTGTGTGACAACCTAGAGGGGTGGGATGAGGTGGGAGGTGGGAGGGAGGCTTAAGAGGAAGGGGACATATGTATACCTATGGCTGATGCATGTTGATATATGGCAGAAACCAACACAGTACTGTCAAGCAATCATCCTTCAATTAAAAAAAATAATTTAAAAAAATTATTTTAAGAAAAAGGGGGAGGGTGGGTCAGAAGCATCATGGAATTCCATCTCAGCAGTCCTGGTGACACAGACACTAAGCCCCAGGTGCTCAGTCACTCAGTCGGGTCCAACTCTTTGCAACCCCATGAACTGTAGCCCGCCAGGCTCCTCTGTCCAGGGGACTCTCCAGGCAAGGATACTGGAGTGGGTTGCCATTTCCTTCTCCAGGGGATCTTCCCAACCCAGGAATGGAACCCGGTCTCCTGCACTTCAGGCAGATTCTTTACCAACTGAGCTATAAGGGAAGCCCCCTCTATGCAGAGTACATCATGCTAAATGCTGGGCTGAATGAAGCACAAGCTGGAATCAAGATTGCNTGCTGAAGTTCCAATACTTTGGCCACCTGACACAAACAGCCAACTCATTGTAAAAGACCTTGATGCTGGGAAAGATTGAGGGCAGGAGGAAAAGGGGGCGACAGAGGATGAGATTGTTGGATGGCATCACCGACTCAAGGGACATGAATTAGAGCAAACTCCGGGAGATAGTGAAGGACAGGGAAGCCTAGTGTGCTGCAGTCCATGGGAGGGAGGATTGTTGTATGGCAGAAGCCACAAACATTGTAAAGTAATTATCCTCAAATTAAACATAGAAATAAGAATACAAATGGAAGTTTGTGATGCTTTGTTAGCATTGTTTGTTTCACGTAGGCAAGGGTCAGCCTAGAGATGTGTTGTTAAAATAAAAATCGGAACTACCTGGGTGGGGGGAGGGGGGGCGGGGAACAGGTAAATACCAACAAAAATAAGTTGAGAAACATGGAGATTTAAAGAGGGAAAGTGCTGGATACACAACCTCTCTGTGAATTTAAATGCTTTTCACTTTAGTTCATCCTTGCCAAAACAAAACGGGGGAGACCTGGCCACTTCTGGTACCCCTCCCTCTTGTTCTTCAAGCACCCCTCGACCTACAGTAAGCTCTGAGTGGAAAATGAAGGAAAAGAAAGAACAGCGATAAGACCTCCTCACCCAGTCTGATCCCTGGTCCTCCTGACCGGCACCCATCTAGGAGCCGCTGTAGAGACTGAGGAGTAAAGGCTGTGCCTGCTCCTGATTGGTCATAAAATCTCTCTCTTCCCATTGGCTGGCGTGGCTCTTGATTGACGAGTCTCAGAAGGTGATGGGAAACTGGCCTTGTTTTTCCACCTCAGGTGTGAATGATCTTGCTTCGGGAGTTGCTGGCTCCTGGATATTCATTCCTATGAAGCTGTTCACAGTTCTCTTTCTACCATCTCATCACTGGGCTTCTCTGAACAGTGTTCTCTCACTGCCGTTGATGGAAGATGCGGAGACTGGTGTCGGGAACCTTCCGCTCATCCTGAGTGTCTTAACTTCTCCGACACTGTGTGCTTCCCAAGGGAGCCTGTGGTGTGTGTCCTCTCAACTTTCATAGCAGCACCTAGATGAAGCATTCGTATATTAGGAAATCAACGAATATTCCCGAGTAAACTAGCTCTAGATGGAAACGGCAGAAATTAGAATTTGCAAATATCTGTTTCTATTGTGATAAGAACACTGCACGTGAGACCTGCAATCTTAAATGGTTTTTTGTTTATCTATTATTTATTGAATTTTTGGCCACACCCCTTGGCATATGGGATCTTAGTTCCCTGACCAGGGATTGAACTGACAACCTCTGCATCAGAAGGTGGAGTCTTAAACACTAGACCACCAGAGAAGTCCCACTCTTACATATTTAAGTGTCTGACGCAGTATTGTTGACTATAGGCATGTTTTGAACAGCAAAACACTGCAACTCATCTCCCATAACCAACCGTTTATACCCACTAAACATTTACCCCCAACTTCCTCCTCCCTCTGCCCCAGCCCTTGGAAACGCCTGCTCTATTCTGGTTCTATGAGTCTGACTATTTTAGATACTTCATAGGAGTGGAATCATGCAGTGTTTTTCCTTCTGTGGCTGGTTTATTTCCCTGAGCACCACGTCTTCCAGGCCCATCCATGTTTTTGCATGTGGCAGAATTTCCTTCTTTTTCAAAGGTGAAGTTTCCACCACAGGTGTCTCTTGATACCCCATTACAATCATCATTGAGATTTGTGGAGACTTTGCCCCAGCATCACTCTTATCACCATCACCCACCATTGACTATCATAAGAGTATCCACCAGCTCTAACATTCACTGGATGCTAATAATGCAAAAGCCCTCCAGGTAAGAGCATTTCAGGCAAGATCTGATTGTCTTCAGCCCTCTGAAGCAGGTGGTATCATTTACACCCTCCCTGCTTTTCAAAGATATGTGAGGCCATCAGGTGGAGGCCAGAGTTGAGAACATCCATACCTGGTTAGCCTTAATTTTAACCTTTCTTCTGAGCAGCCTCCCAGGCAACATCAATCCCGCTGGGAGTTTAGAGAGAGTGAGGCTGGATCAGTGGGCAGGTGTGGCTTCAGTTCAGTTCAGTCATTCAGTTGTGTCCGACTCTTTGCGACCCCATAGACCGCAGCACGCCAGGCCTCCCTGTCCATCACCAACTCCAGGAGTCAACCCAAACCCATGTCCATTGAGTCGGTGATGCCATGCAACCATCTCATCCTCTGTCGTCCCCTTCTCCTCCTGCCTTCAGTCTTTCCCAGCATCAGGCTCTTTTCCAATGAGTTAGCTCTTCACATCAGGTGGCCAAAGTATTGGAGTTTCAGCTTCAACATCAGTCCTACCAATGAGCACCCAGGACTGATCTCC